CCCACTCCCCCCCCCCCCACCCCCCCAAGTTCATTTTTTATTGCAGATTCGGGGTCCTCTAGGGTAGCGCAGCACAACCCCACCTTCCAGGGAAAAAAAAAAAAATCCTTGCTGGTTTTTTGCGTCACCCGGTTTCGACGGGCGGCAGCCCAGCCTAGCTTTTTTTTCTTTTTTTCCTTTTTTTCCATAGGCAGCTTTTTTATTCTTATTTTTGGACAGCAAAGCAGGTGCAAGGAAAATGACCGATAGCGAACTTCAGAAATCAAACAGCATCATACACATGAGACAAGATAGTCGTGACCTCAAACCAATAGCAGAATTGCATCACGAGTTCCACCAAATAAGAGCACAGCAAAAGCTCATAATTGACAATGCTGGAATAGCCTCATCATCATCAACAAAGAACCAATGTCGATATCCTATCTGGCGCTCGGCGCCCAGACTACAGATGGCAAATCTTATCTAGCCTATCTACAATGCCGCTGATGACGTCAACAGCTCCCCGAAGTACAAGCAGATCTCGGCCAATGCCGTTCGCCTCAAGCACCAGGTATGTCTCTCGTATCACTCACAACCTCAATCCCCAACTCACAGATGCCACATGCACCCAAGAACCACCATGCGCCCCATCCAGCATATAGCAGCACAGCTCGGCTATGGCTGCCTGCTCCTTCCAGCTCGCCCATGAGCGCGTGAACGCTGGCCAGCGCTTGCGCAGCATGCTGCCAGTGCCCGAATGCCGAATGCGTGGGCAGGCCCTTTCCTAAATGGAAGTGGCCTGCTTGCTTGCATGCAGCCTGGCCGCGTTGGGCCCCTGCCCAGAAGCTTCCGGTAGGCCCAGAGAGGCTGAGCCCCAGTCCAAACGAATCAGGCCCTGGGCCTGTGGTGGTTGCCCGTGTCCAACTGCCCACAGCCTGTGTTCGGTCCATGTTGCGAATCTGGCCCAGGGCCTGCCTCAGTTACATTCGAAAGAGGCAGCCTGGGCCTTGGCGCTCTCAACCAACTGGCACTGCGCAACTGCCTGAATTTACCCAGTTGCGTGGTGCCCCCCAAAATAGGCCTGTAGGCCCTCGGTCCAGCCTGCCTTCACTTAGGACGGCCGACTGTACAGAGAATAGGGCCCAGTAGGGCAGATCGAGCCCTTGAACCTCGCACACGAGTTCATAAAGAAGAAACCCAGGGACATACTTCAAAGTTGGAAACTTTCATGGTCTTTTTTTTTTTCTTTTTTCTTTTTTTTGACAGCAAATGCTGCAAATCATGATTTCATGAAGAAGAAACCCAGGGACAAGCTGCAAAGCTGCACACCTTCATGGGTGTTGAGAGAAGATAAAAGGGCGATATAAGCAACCAAACAACACATCTGCAAATGAGCAACAAGATGAGGAAAGCGGGAATAGACTAAACAGAACAATAAAAAGAGTGTGAAGCAACGAAATCACATGCTGTGACCGCAAAACAGAAGTTTGTTTGCTACTGAGCTGTTCCTAGAAAGAAAGAAAGAAAGAAAGAAAGAAAGAAAGAAAGAAAGAAAATAATATGAGTTTCTTTCTTTCTTTCGTTCTTTCTTTCTTTCCTTCTTTCTTTCTTTCTTTCTTTCCTTCTTTCTTTCTTTCTTTCTTTCTTTCAAATATGAGTTTCTTTCTTTCTTTCTTTCTTTCTTTCTTTCTTTTTTATGCAGTTGGCAAAGAAAGAACGAAGAAAAATGCCTGATCCAAACAAAGGAACGACAAGGGAAAATCTGTGCAAGTGTGTGCGAGTCCATATCGCATGCACATCACTGTAACAAGTACTTATGACCCCCTTTCCACAAACAGGTCCGGATTCCTAGAAGGCACGCACGGTTTCATTAAATACATCGTGTTAAAATTCATGACAATCATCATCATTCGCTTTTTCTCCAAGCGGACTGCAAGTTATGAGGTTCACCTGTAGAGTGCATACGCTGAAAACTGTGTTCTCTCGGCCACAGCTCCACCAGCAATCGTGGTGGCCGTTGCACAAAACGTGTACTGGAAGAAGAACAGCACTTCATTCTCGGAGTTGAATAGCGCTGGCACGCCATCTTCCTGTCTCCATCCAAACATGGCATTTCCCTCCCCAAAAGCGAGGGCATACCCGATCGCCCAGAACCCCATTGCAGCAAAACACGCATCAAGCACATTCTTGAGCATAATGTTCCTTGTGTTTTTTGACCGCACTGACCCTGCCTCCACAAGAGCGAAACCAACCTGCGAAAGCGAGATCAGGCAATCAAATTGAACAACAACATGTGTACAGTATATCAGAGTTGAGAAGGCATTAAAAAAAAAAAAAAGAGGGAGGGAAGAGTACGGAGGATTCCATCACGGAGGCCTTTGTGATCTTCCGCAGCAGGGAAGACTCCCGAGATGATGCAATACAATTCCATGTGCCGTTGTACTGCCTCCACGCCACATGGAAAAGAAGGATGATGAGGAGGAAGGAGTGTGAGGAGCACCTAGGTAGTCGTGGGATGGGGAGTAACTTCACAAAGAAGACGGGCAGCGTGATGTTGGGGAGTAACTTCACAAAGAAGATTAATGAAGAATTTCGTGAATGGCAATGAAATTTGCAAACTACACGCTGAGCCAACCGATATGCATCAACACAACCAGACCCTCCCCTCTGTGGCTTCCCTCTTTTTTGCATGTCCGTCGTCCGAAAAAAAAGTCACACGATACCTGTATAACTCAAGAATATCTGCACACAGTCCTACATGCCAGCAATTAAGCCATGATAATAATAAAAAATCAGAGTTCTATTTCGGACCGGGAAATCCCACAACCCCCTGAGGCGCGCTGAGCGTTTACCACCTGAGATAGTCAGCTTGCCCCTCCTAGTTGGTTGGGCGGGAATACCATTGTCCCTTCCACCCGTCGCTGGGAGTTAGGCTCAACCCTGAGGGGGATAGGTTCAACCCATAACCCTTAGTGTAGCTGCTTGTGGTCCATAGACAAAGTGTATCATTCCAGCCTAGGTAGGTAGGTAGTGGGAGGCATATTGAGAGAAGATTATAAGGTTAGTTCTTCAAAAAAAAAAAGAGTTTTGATATAGTGGAATCCAAAGACAGGTGCACGGCATACGGCCCTTGGCCTAGGTTGGAAAGGGCCCGCGCCCGCTGGAGACTGTCTGCGCCCGCCCTAAGTGAAGGCGGGCCCTGTGGAAAATCAATGAGGCCTGTGCCGAGGCCTATGTGAGCAGATTTGGGCCTCGTGGGTTGGTTGGTCGCGCAGCATCTCCAACCAAGCGGTAGGCCCGATCGGCTGAAGATGCTGGGCCCTGCAAAGATGCTGAGGCCCTATGTGAGCAGATTTGGGCCCCATGAGTTGGTCGGTCGAGCAGCATCTTCAACCAACCGGTAGGCCCAATCTGTTCAAGATGCCGAGCCCTGGAAAGATGCTGAGGCCCAGGGCACTTACAGTTGAGCCACAGGCACATTCTGGAAGGGCCTTGGCCGCAGATACTGGGACAGACGTCGAGCCCCCAGAGCCTCGCCTTGCCCAGCCTGAGAGGACAAAAGAGAGAGGCTCACTCACGCTCTTTCATTTTGGCTGGCTGGATGGCGCAGCGCTGCAGGAGCGCTTGCTGGCAGACGAGAGTCGGGCAGAGTGGTGAGGCGCTGGCGGGGCGCAGGGAAGAAGCTGCCACGGGCGCAGCTAGAGGACGCAGCGGCCATAACCGGAAGGAGGTGTGGCGGAGGTCCTTGGGAGAGCGACAGAGTGTGAGGTAAAGAGGTGATGGGCGGTGTGTGCGAGGGCGCTTACCTGGTCATGATGAGCAGGCCGCTTCATCGGAGTCTTCCTTGGCAATCAGGCGCTGCGCTTCATGGAGACATGTTGTAGGATAGGTGTCTAGGTAGATAGGTGCCGTCTGATTGTAGTCTGGGCGCCGAGCGCCATAATAGAAGAGCGACATTGTGGACACTGATGTTGGAGGCGAGAAGAGGGCTTTCATAGTCAATTGACTTCGGTGCTTGCTCTTGCTTCTTTGGTGTGTATCATGGTACAATCTGCTTTGAGTTCGTGTATCTGGATTCCTATGGAATGCTGAAATTTGGTTTCTGTCATTCGCATTGCTCATTTTCCTTGCACAGGAGATATACACATATCTCCCTCTCTATCTACGGTTTACCAGGCAGTTCTGTTTGACGATATATACCATGGCTTCGATAGCACCCTGCTACGGTTTTCTCTGGTACGGTTGAGCGTCAGTGGTTAGGTCCGTCACTACGCGGCCATGCTGTGCCTCTAGTGCCAGCTGCGTGTATAGAGTGTATTTTCTGTGGCTGCGATAGGCCTTTCTTCGTTTCATGGGTGTTTTGCTGGTTTGTGATGGGGTGTGAACCTGCAGTCCGTAGACTTTTCCATCTGGTATTGGAAGGTGATAGTCTGCTTTGATTTTCGTCACAGGTACCTTTAGGGCAGTGGTGGGCGCCCACCTCAGGATATAAACTGCCGGTCAGTCGTTGATGCTTCACCACCACTAGGGGTTCAGGTGGACTGTCACTAACAGTGAAATCAGTTAGGGATTCTGCAGACTGTAGAGGGTTCAGCCTCCTGACGATTTGGTGAAAAAACTCCTACAAAAACGTTTGTCACAGCCCCTCATTGGTTGTCCTCTTTTCCCTCTCTGCCTACGGTTTACCGGGCAGTTCTTTTTGACGATCCCAACTCTTGATTTGCTAAGGCCTGGGGTACCCCCAAATCCAAACCTTACACGCCCCATAAGCCTAACGGTTCTCGGTCTCACCGGACTCAGAGATTCTTCAGACCCTTACCTGGGCGTCTATGAACTCTTCTGATCTATTCTACGACCTGTTGACTTTGAGTTTCTTGACACAGTGTCTCAACACTTTGTTTACATATTAATTCATTTGTTAAACTTCATTTGCTTGTCCACAGGGTTAGATACCCACAGACAACCGACCATCTTGCAGCCGATCGGCAGGGCCGACTGGTCGGCAGTATGGCGACCAGTCAGTAAACAGCCATCCAGTGATTTTTTTTTCAAATCACTATGGGGCTGTACTGCGTTTGCTGAGCACAGCGCAAATCAGCTGAGAAACTTTTGGGGATGGGGGAGGGCACAGGGGGGGGTA